TGCCTTTAAGGTCAAATGTATGGGTAAAGGTTAATACATTTCTAAGTAGACCTTTTGGATATTTACAAAGTTTTAAGGACTTAGTATTCAACTTTAAATCATGTTTCTTGTTTTTTTCTCTTTAATCCACCCTCTAATAGGACTCTGAACTAAAGAGGACAGTAGATGAGAGCGAGCGCATAAAGAGGGCCTATGGACATTACTTTGATCTCTGCATCGTGAACGACGGCTTGGAGGCGGCCTTCCAAAGCCTCCGGCTGGCGCTGGAGAAACTGGCGCTGGAGCATCAGTGGGTGCCGGTCAGCTGGGTGTTCTGAACATCATCAGCAAAGAGTCGGACGTTTCGTATTGATGCTGAGGAAGCTGTGCATCACCAGCCAGCACAAGGGACCAGCCTCATCTAGAGCATTTTTGTACAAACTAAGTGTTCCTCTGTTGAGTCTAATGTCAAGTTGTGATGAATTTGTCAAAAGGATTTATGATGAGGTATAGTGCAATCGTGAGATCTTAGAAATGTGGACAATAAACAGTTGGACATTTATTTGGAGAGACAGTTTTAGCCTTCACATTCTTAAACTTTATGTAGTGTAATGTTTACATCGGCTCTCTAAGAAGGATTGAGGAAAGAAACCAAATGTCTCATTTGTGTTGAACACCTCATCATTTGACATTTCATCATACGGTATGATTGTTGCTAAATCCTCTACGTCTACATGGATAAAAAAAAAAAAAGAAATGAATGGCAATAGTTACTGAAATATACATGCAATACATTTACTGAAGCATTTCTACATAATGAGACGCAACAGAGAAAGCAGAAGAGGTTTTTACATCATTTTCTTTTAAATGATGAATCCGAGAGTTTTTTTCCTGACAGAAAATCTAAAAAAATGATCCGTAGCACCAATAACAATCACACCCTCAAAAGAAGCAAGAATAATCACGTTTAGTAGCCTAGATGCATAGTTTTACGAAGGGAATATACAGTATATAACCTTAGCCTTTACTTCTCGGACTCTTGATGGAGGAAAAGTTTTGTTCATTTTTGATGTACAAGCATTAAACCAGTGGCTTCAAATCCATGTTTACTTTTGCCTTAATATGGTTCAAAAGCCAAGGAAACACAATCTTTTCATCATGAAACTTTTCATCTCTATAAGTGTTTGTTACTTAGAAAAAAAACAGTTAAAAACTCTGTTAACTTATTTATTGATCATTTAATCCTTATTTCAGCCTGTAAGTAATGTATTGTAATAAAGAGTGTATAGATAATATAAAGACACTTGGTTCTTTGGTCATTCTGTTGGTGTGTAGATGAAATGAGCGACTACACTTTACTCCAGTTTAATTCATTCTATTTGAGAGTATTTTACATGTTAATATATTACACCTCATCTGTAGATTTATCTTATTGTCAACTAAGCAGTTAAAAGAAAATAGTTAATTGGTTCAAAAATGATTGTTTTTTAAGTTTAAAGAAAAAGTGACGTGCATTCGTATTTAATCCACTTTAAGTCAATACTTTGACTTAGCTGCAAGTCTCAATAGATTTTATATTCAGTTAGTTTAGGGTCTCTGCAGTGCCTTGGTGGGAGGTTGTTGGGTGTGATTTTATTCTGTGGAAGCCATGATTGATTGAAGGATAGGTAGTTGCAGGTAGCTGGATTTAATTACTCCTCTTTGAAATCCCTCTGTCAAACACAAACTCTTTGGTTTGAAATGTGAGGAAAATTACTGAACCGCCCAAAACCAAGGCGTCCAAATGTAAATCCAACGAAAATCTGTGAATTTTGCAAGGAGAAAAAACAGAGCTTGTTTTATAATTGGACATTTTGTATTGAAAATAGAAAAATAAGGGAATCCAGAAATAAAACCTCAGAAAAATTTCATAATTTAAACAAAAGTTTTGAAAGTAACTTTGCTTTGTTCTCAGATATTTTTATTCAATTTCTTTTTTCGGATTTCTTTTTTTTTTCTTTTTTAACAAATTTCTGTTTTATATTTAATTTTTTAAAACCATTTTTTCATAACTCTAACCCCATTTGGAAATAAAAACTATTTACAATAAGCCCTCCATAGCATGTTCTTGCTATACCTCTCAGATTAGGCAGACAGCCTTTACCAAAAAACAGATTCATCCCCACAACCCAGAATCATGTCAACCGTTGATCTCTATTTTTTCACTGGGTTGCTGATATGGAGTGAAGTTCACATCACAGACAACTTCGCCTGGACTATAAACACCACCTCACTGGTCAAAAGGGTATGTTCTTCCTGCAGAGGATGAGGAGAGCCCACCTGCCCCCACCCATCCTCCCCACCTTCTACAGAAGCACCATAGAGAGCGTTCTGAGCAGCTGTCTCACTGTGTGGTGTGGAGGATGCAGCGCCTCAGACTGGAAGAAGGTGAGAAATGTGAGAACAGCAGAGAGGATCATGGGGGCTCCTCTCTCCTCCATTAAAGACATTTCATCCCAGCGCTGCGTGTCCTGAGCCCGTGACATCATCAATGACCCCTCACACCCCCACCATGGACTGTTCTCCCTGCTGCCCTCTGGGAAGAGGCTTCACAGCATACAATGCAGGTCCAGCAGGTTCCAGAACAGCTTCTTCCCCACCGCCATCAGACAGCTGAATGTGGAAAAAACTATAAATCATGAGGTCAATGAAGTCTATAAATCTTGTTATTTAACATACCATACAAATCCATCACAACAAAATGTATGTGTTAATGGAGCATGTTAATACATATTTGCCAAAAATTAATGACATACATGTCATATACATGTATTGATTAAATTGTTATTGTAATCACATATTACATATAATCTCAAGATTTTACATCAAGAATGAATTACAAGTAATCTGTTAATGCTATAATATTTTTCTATTTGCAAATTGTGCGTGCATGATGCCATATATTTTCATGATCCGTCTGTGTATTAGCCTGACATAGATTTACCATAGATCTAATTTAATGAACCGGTTTAATAACTCCACAGATCTTGAGTTTCAGCACTAGCAAAATCACATAAATCGGCTAAATAATAGCAACATCAAATTCATATTTTGCCCATAGTTACAAGAATCTGATAACTTGCATATAGTTGACATACAAGTATGTATGCAAACACGAAAACAAACACACATATACTATCCAGTGATTGAAAACCTTTAATGATATAACTCACACATGTAGTGTGAACTCACATTCATATGTATATATAAATATATATATACATACATATATGTATTTTTCACCAATATAACATCCAATCTATTTCAGCACATGACTTTTTCAAATGACAAACATACAGAACACAAAAAAAATGACAGTGTCTTCCATTTAATGAAAAATTACTACATTGACATTAAATTACTTTCTATCTTCTAATGTTAGACACAATGTCAATGACTAACTCAGGCAATATTTCGAGTCCGTCAGAGATAGCCAGACTATTGTTATGTTACTGTTAGAAATATTTTATTTATACTCCGTTTGTGTTTCATGGGTTGTGTACCAATGAACTATCATGATGTATAATGTGTGATTCATCATGCAACGGACGGGTTGTGAAAGAGGTCTGAACATCCTCTATCACGTTTCTTCTAAACATGTGTTCTTGGAACAATTCAATTGTAAAACAACCACAATCTTTGTTTTAACATTTGTGCTGAGGTTTAAAGTAAGATCATTTTGTTTCCCTTTCCCTTAGTTAAACCTCAGTTGGTGTAATTAGGGACATCCCCTGACTTCAATAAATAGCAAGGAGAAAGCTGAAGACCAGCAGAGTGGGGTGGAGATTGTAAACTCCGCAGTCTCTTCCTACTCTCCTCGCGAGTAAACTAAATTAATTGTCTCTGTGCCTTCTTTCTTTTCCTGTATGATGTTTTAGGTGCTTAGACCTGACACTTACAGACTATACTATAGGTTACATCGGTGTATAAATGGATTTTCTTGGTTAATAAATCCACTAACTGTAAAATTACCTGTGAAATGTCTTCCCAATGCCAGCAAACTGCTTGTTTTTGCAGCCAAATGCTACACGCAGGCAGTTTTATGGCACGTCTCCGTGAGATTGGGGAGTACCAAGATGGCAGCAGGTGATTTTACTTTTTTCAGGCTATCAGCAAACCAGTGAATAAATGGAGATCAGTGATTTCAACTAGTCAGAGTTCCTAATGATGGCGACTAGGAGAGTAAAATAATAAAAATGAAAAGGCCCAACCTTTTGGGCTGCTACTGTCCAGTCTGCTCTGAGCAGCACATAAGGAACATCAACACAACTGGAGGAGGTTCCCCATGTTATTGCTCATTGCTATTCATTTATGTTGTTAACAATATTATAGATTTTTTTTTCCGTTTGAAATGTGAGCAAATCTTAATGCAGAGAACAGAACATTTCTTCTAAATACAGAACAATTTGACACACGCATTTGACTGTTACATGTTTATAAAGTAAACATGTAACATAAATTTAAAATGTTTGTTGCACATACTTTATCCTTTTCAAATTGAGCTTTCCAGATGTCCTTCTCTTTACTCCGGAGGGCGGGCTTTCCTCTGGAGTAAAAAGCCAAGATGCAGTTCTATATATAAGCAACAACCTTTTCTTTGGTAAAGAGTGAGCTTCTGTATTTGGATTGAAATGAGGGGAAGGAGATCTTTAAAATGCAATTTGGAGAAAAAAATTGCAATCCAAAAAACTCAGTCTGACAGAACAAAGTTATACAAAACAAAATAAAAAAGAAACTGAAAGACATAAAATATGAGAAATAATTTGAAGAAAATATGAAGAAAGAATGAAAAAAAAAATAAAAATGTGAAGTAGCAGCAACGTTACTTTTGAAACCATACAAACCAAGGCTGCCTACAAGAGCTGTTCATCCACCAGAGGCATAAAGAAGCTGACCCAAAATATGACCTGTTATGATTCACACCTGTTTGTGTTTTTAGTTGAGTATACTCACTTGTTTTCAGTTACTTGCTGTGTTTGTGTTTCTGTTTACCTTTTTTCTGGTCATTGAAACGATGTCTGCTCACCGTTTAAGTCCACAGAAGAAATCCGCCATCAAGCTGCTTACCTAGAAGCTACCCTTCAAACGACTGTCAGAGAAATCTCTAGGACTAATCCATTCTTTAAGAGGTTTCCTAAAGATTTTCCTTAACTCATTTCCCTCCATATTCGACTAAACTTCACCTTCCTTCCCTATCCCTGCTGAAGGCAACCATCACTGTTTCATTGTTGTTTTTGGTCTCTTTTGACCACAGAAACTTTTGAGCAAACTCTAAATAGAAAACCTCTTTTTGTAATACCTGTTTTCTATTTGAAAGTCAGTCACTATTCTATGAAGGCTATAGCTCTCATTATCTACAGTATATAGATGTTTAGTGAGAATGAATTCAAACAGCTGGACTCAACAGACCAATTTGAGGGAAAAGAAGCAGCTTTATTGTCATACAGAAAAACAACAAACTTTCTATGGCAGCATCTCTTTTTAGCAGCAACAGAATCAGATATAGTTAAAGGTATAGTGGAGAATGGTTTGTTTCTGGGTGGATCATCTAAATAAGTGGTCCGCCTAATTGTCAATCATTCTGATGATAGGTTTATGTGCGATTCGTTGCACTCGATTTTGTTAATGAGCCTCACGGTAGAAGGAGTGGAAAGCGGTCTAGCCGAAGGATGCTCTCCGTGAGTGGTCCTGGTGAAAGGTGGAGGAAAGGTGGGATTCCTGGAGATGGTCCAGAGAAGTCCTTCGAGCAGAAGTGATTGACGGTGTTAGTGGATACACG